CAGGATGTTTATTCACGCACACAACTGCGATCGACTAGACAGCCTAGTATGTCGATGATAACAAATGATAATTACAGAAATCGCCTTGGCTTAATTCGACAGGAATGCGTGTGATTAGGATGTCAACTTAATGAGGAAAGACAAACACTGCACTATGTATATTCATAAATACAGAGCCGACATGAACTGACATGATTCACTCCTCTGTATAAATCTCCCAAGAGTACTTCCAGTACGTACCTGCGTGTTGATATGGAGGCCATGGAGTTCGATTTCAACGAGATCGAAAAACCGGAACCGGAAACTATGACCCGGAAGGGGAAGAGAACCTCTGTTTCCGGTCCTTTTATCTGTGCGTGGGTTCTGATATCGCTTGTTTTATGTGCTGTGATTGGTGGCCTCCTGTATGTGATATTCCAAAAGGATGCATACTGTACGAATAGAGTTCAGGGGTCAGCATCGACGCTTGTGGAAGACTTGAACAAGACGATTGGGGAGGATGTGGGGGGCCCTAATTGGAACCGTGAGTATAACCATTTAACCCAAACCAAGCCCGATATGAGTACAATAATTTATCCACGCCCCATGTTCAAATATGATCCTATTGGGGAACATCAGTACAAACCTTTATCATACAGGCCCTCGTGTCTTTTCGAGGATTAAAGATGTTAAAATAATATTAACATTTGAGATGACCCCCGACTGGAAATGCTACACAGTACAATACATTATGACAAGGCCGGACACTTCGGTGTACCCTACCCGCCTGCTTTGTCGATCGCTACGCTACCATCGCATGCAATCGATTAAAACTTAATTTGAACATAATCATGGATGATTGACCTATCGGTTACAAGCCCACTAATTGGTCAACACTTGTAAAGCTGCTCATTCTTTATGAATTTGCGTGAATTCTTCCTTTCATCGACTGCTTATTGTAAGAATATGTTTCGAGCAATGGCCTCTGAAAAGAAAGCATCAGTTGTAAATGTATCCTTAACAAGGATCAACCAACCAGAGGGCTTGCTTCGACCAGACACCCGTTTTGTGCGGACATATCGTCATCCATTTGTGTCAAGATCGTTTAGTTGAGGGTCAAAATCGGGTTTCAGTCGACTTGCAGAAATAACAATAAAGAATTGGTAGGTGTCATGTGTGGTGATTGATAGTCCAATCATCCATGATTATGTCTACATTAAGTTTTAATCGATTGCATGCGATGGTAGCGTAGCGATCGGCAAAGCAGGCGGGTAGGGTGCACCGAAGTGTCCGGCCTTGTCATAATGTATTAACTGTGAAGCATTTCGAAGAACTAAAAAAAGTCTTTAATCTTTGCAAAGACACGAGGGCCTGTGCTTTATCCCCGTCCTATGTTCAAATATGTACATAATAGGGGACAATTACTACAAACCTTTATCCCCGACCCCATATTCCCGTATGAACCCCTTAGGGGAAGATTAGTACAAGCCTTTATCTACGCCCCCTTATTCCAGTATGAACCCTATATGGGAAGATAAGTACAGGACTTTGTCCATATTCCATATTCCAGTAGGAACCTATATGGGAACATTAGAAATTGCATTGGGCATAATTTTTTTAACTGATGCATCAAATGTTGACATGTTTTCTACATGTCTACCATGAATCCTCGTGGTAGTGATTCCACAATGATGTAATGTCAGAAAGAATATATGCATGTGCTCTTGATGTGAAAATGTGTCATGCCGCTTAATTACAACAAATAAAAAACTATAAACTAAAAGAAATATTCACAATACAGACAGTATAATCACCCATACCTTAACAATCAGGATACAAAAACAACATACTGTATTATTACCACTGATTGGAGCTCGTGAATGAGTTCAGTTTTGTGCCGCTTTTAGCAATATTCCAGCAATATCACGGAGGGAAGGATAATAATATATGGATGAACAACTTCTTTATTGCTGTGAGAGCGACGTTTTGGTGTAGGTTCTAACACCGTTATCAAGCATATATTGTTATCCTTCCCTACTGCTCCAATTTCTAAATGCCTCTCAAAGAAGAACATATCACGGAGGAGGACACCAGAAATGGGCTTCACATTTTGTACAAATGTTGGGAATCGAACTCAGGTCTTCGGCGTCACGAGCAAACGCTTTAACCACCATGCTACCCCAACGCTCCTGGAGCTAGTGGAAGACAACATAGATAATTAAATTAATGTCCCAAGCACAAGACGGGTATGTACCCTGGTCTCAGTTGACGGTCATCTGATGAAGGGGTAGGAATATACCCCGAAACATTGTGTTTCTCATAATAAAGGACCCGTGAAGACTTGGTTAGAATTGATATTTCAGTAGACCATGCTTGTTGTAAAAGGCGACTAGCGACTTCAGGTTTCCTGACTTAGATGACATATGTCATCGTATCCCAACTGCATAGATCGATGCTCATGATGTTGATCACTGGATTGTCTGGTCCAGACTCGATTATTTACAGACCGCCGCCATATAGCTGGAATATTGCTGAGTGCGACATTAAACGAAACACACCCATAAAAAAGTTGACATCCATAAGGTCTCATCTTTTATGTGTATCATTTCTAAATGCCGTTCAGTTGCAATGTGACAGCAAAAATATTCCGCTCAAGACATAATAAAAAACAAAACAAACAAAAACAAAATACCGTCTCCTTTTCCCTAAGATGACTTAAAGATCATCCGTTCTCACGATGCTATTTCCATGAACTCATCGGTTTATGACATCCTCATATTGATTAATTAACAGTAATTACTTAATCAACATAATTACAATTATCTATGATAACGTTAATTAGTGTGACTTTTAGAAGCAGTAGTGTTGACATAATTATGATAGAGCAAGCTTGTACAATGGCCCATATACATGGTGTCTGACTCTGATGCAGATAAAAATGTATCTGTGGTGATATATCTTGGAAGGGAAGGGATTTAAAAGAAAAACTTTAAAATTAGAGTGAGTGAGTTTAGTTTTACGCCGCACTCAGCAATAGTCCAGCTATATGGCGGCGGTCTGTAAATAATCGAGTCTGGACCAGACAATGCAGTGATCAACAGCATGAGCATCGATCTGCGCAAGTGGGAACCGATGACATGTGTCAACCAAGTCAGCGAGCCTGACCACCCTATCCCGTTAGTCGCCTCTTACAACAAGGATGGGTTACTGAAGATCAATATTCTAACCCGGACCTTCACGGGTATTTAAAATTAGAAGAGTTTATAATTTTAAAACGTTTCGAGAATATTTTAAGATGTTAAAATGTATCAAAACTACATAAACTATACCTCTATCGATTTGGTCATTTTTCAGTTTCATCTGAAAATATCTGACCTTATTATTTTTTTAAATACAATGTGTTTTAAAACTTCGTTTACATGTACTACACATCACCAGACCTTAAATATCTTATCTTTGAAATTTGCCAAATATAGTAGGGATTATGTAGCTGCAATTCATTCTTTACCCAAGTTTTTAATAAAACAAATTAATTTACACAAAATTACGGATGACTTTTTACAATCTGTTGCAGGATTGAATCATGGATGATACTTAACTACACATTACCAAATTGAAAAATGTTCTTTTAATTTCCAATTACATTAAAAAGTAACTCGGATAATATTTTCTTTCGTCCTAAAGTTTATGTCTTCCTAAATTTGTTTCTGGTATTCGATATTCGTTCCCAAGAAATATCTTTGGAACCTACCGCATACGATCAGCACATGAAGGATGGACTGGTTTGCCATTACATCAAAGTGTCGCGTGGCCGCAATGTGGCGCTTATATTCATTACATACTTTTTGTCAACATGTTTACAAATAATGACAACGCGAAATTCATCGGCATGCCACGGTCACATGATCTCGCTGTAGCACTTTTATCATCCACGGGTTGTTCTTGAGCATTTAACAAAGCATGATCTGTATTTATACATGAAGTCTGTCAGAACTACTGTACAGACTGAGCCAAGTCTGTGGATTAACGGTTTCATGTGTTCAGTACATGTATATCCTGAATAATATTTATAGCGCAAAATTGAGCTTAATTTACCAATGTCTCTAAGCGTCTTTTCGTTTCATTATGAACGAGTGAGTATTGTTTACTGCCGCAGTATTTCAGCGACAAATGAAGCACAATTGGGCTACATTTGAGATTCGAACCAATGTTCAAATGTTTATGGCTCCCCAGGGGGCGCCACCGAAAACAGCAATTGGGCCGCTAAGACTTTTGTGCCGACTGTGGCCTCTCGTCGATTTGAGACCGGAATTAAACGTAATAAAATTATACAACACTTTTGTTTCTTGCTGTCAATACACGTTGGATATTTAGGTCAAATATCAAAGAATTTGGTTCTTTTCATAAAAGCGATTCAAATGCCATTGGTACTTTTGTCTCAGAATCTTTGGAACAAAATAAGCCAGGAGTTTTGAAAGGAGAGAAATCACTTTAAGCTTGCGTCGATCATTTCGCTTATTACATTACGTGTGCAAACATTAATATATAACAGTGACATTGTGACGTTATGAATCTGTCGCATTATTGTTCATTTTAACCCTTTGTCACACATTTTGGATTTTGGCATTACAAATATTGCGTTGTCGCATAGTAGTCCTTTTCTAAACCCCATTTAAATGTATTCAAAGCTCAACAACCCGACACTTGGTTAAAACGGCGGAGCTTTGATAACTTTTGACGTTTTTTGCTTGATTTCGTAAAGGCGACAATGCGATGTATATCCCATCTAGAATTCCTTACTTATTAATTATGTTTGTTTTACAATTCCAGATAACGAGACTGACGTCACGACTGTGTGTCCCCCTGGAGCTGGCTCGTGTTCTTCCAGCCCGACTCTGTCAACCCCAGAATTAAGTACCCATGACAACACCCCTCTCGTCCTTCCTAATCTACCAAGAGTGATCTCCCCTTATCATTACGACCTTGAACTTTTACCGAACATTTACGATAGTGTGGAAGAGATGGCAGCGGAGGGGAAAGTGTCCATCTTGTTCACGGTGCTTGACAAGACAGATGCTATAACCGTCAATGCCTTAGAGTTGGACATCGATAAGGAGTCTGTGAGGTTAGATCCCGTTGCACCCACCAAAGACGTTCCTGGTGTTCGCGGCATAAGCTACAAGAACCAGTCACAGCTGCTCGTCATCCAACTCGATACAGAATTACCTCTCCTTGGGAAGTTCAAAGTTCAAATAAAGTATCGCACTCGTGTAGACTTGGAGCCCCGTGGGATTTACGCCTTTACTTACGCCAATGCTGACGGGAAGATATGGTAAGACTTCAAATGATTTTATTATTGTGTTGCTGTTTTTCTAGTATATGTTCTGCGATAATAGCAAGCGATTTAATGATGTTAGCTACATCCAAGAACTGCTGATTGGCTGATGATATAGTGGGCGGGGCTTGCGTGTATGATTGATCACTGATTTCGAGCTATGACTGACACTGACTGACTGACTGAGTTTGGTTTTACGCCGCTTTTAGCAATATTCCAGCAACATCACGGCAGGGGACCCAGAAATGGGCTTCACACATTGTACCCATGTGGGGATTCGAACCCGGATCTTCGGAATGGCAAACCAACGCTTTAACCACTAGGCTACCCCACCGCCCCTCGAGCTATGAATACACAGTGCCAATTAGATAGTGGTCAAATATAGTACATGTTATATTTTATATTGCAATGTCACAGTAAAGTGCAGATTCTAGTACTTTTGTTGGATTGAGTTCCATTCGGGATTCACAACGTCTATGGTCTGGACAATCAATCGTCCGACTTCCATTTTTGTGGAAACGCGATGGCTGAGTGGGTTAGATGGCTGATTTTGCGTGCTGGCGATTAGGTGCCTGAATCTGAGATAATGTGTAAGAATCTCAGATAGGAATCAACCATCAAAAGTATTAGAATCTGTACTTTACTGTGAAAGTGCAATGTCAAATATAACATGTTACATTTGACCACTTTCTAAATGACATTGTGTATTCATAGCTTCCGGTATGGGAAACGTTCCGGTTTATACTTGCACTACTTGCAGTGAACGATCACTGATTACGAATTGTTCTCATCTTTTTCTCTTTCGTCACAAAACGAAAATTTCTGGATCATATTTAGGAATATTTTGTGCAAGAAATAGGATACACTTCAAACTTAGCGGCTAATGTATCAAATTACTCTCGCCCTTTTTTAATTCAGGAAAACGGCAGCAACGTACTTCAACAATGGTTTGGCCAGGAGAGCATTTCCCTGTTTCGACGAATTGTCCTTCAAAGCGACCTTCAACTTGACCTTGCTGTGGAAGGCTTCAGAGAGCTTTAGCACGTGGTCCAACACTGAAATCTGGTACCAAGAACCACGGTACGGAGTCAATTGTCACTACTCGTCCTTTTCCGGAACCTGTAATCGGCTTATCCCTGAGTAACACGAGCAGGTCACACATGGGTATGGAGTTCGTCCCTTTCCGTAACCTGTATTCGGCTTGTACCGGAATAACACAAGCAGGTCACACATGGGTGAGTGGCGAAAGTGGCGAACTCCATGTTCGCCACTTTCCGTAACCTGTATTCGGCTTGTCCCGGAATAACGGGTGGGTATGGGGTATGGACTATCTAGATCTACAGAGTATACAAATGGAGAATGTTATGATTGAAGATTAAAACAACATATTTACCCCATTTCGGATTTGTTGATGTTTGCAGTGAAAATGGAATTATTGCCGATGTCTACAAACGAACACCGAAAATGTCCACACACGACTTGGCCTTCGCTGTCGGTAACTACGCCTACATTCAGAACGTGACGTCATCAGGAGTCAAGGTCAGTAAGGGGTCAAATGATCATGTATGTCCAAGTATGTACGGTATTCCGATCACCTTCCGGGTTACACTTGATGTCCAGAAACTCATACCGCGGTCAGTGTCAGTGACAATGTTCGTTCATGTTATCGCCAGGCTTGTCCCCCGTAAGAGGCGACTAACGGGATCGGGTGGTCAGGCTCGCTGACCTGGTAGAACATGTCATTGTATCCCAATTGCGTTGATCGATGCCCATGTTCTTGATCACTGGATTGTCTGGTCCAGACTAAATTATCTACAGACCGCCGCCACATAGCTCGGATACTGTGGCGTTATACAACAAACAAACATGTCATCGTATCCCAATAGATCTAATTTTAGGATGGCAATCAACGGCTTGTCTGGTCCAGACTCCACTACCGTCATATTGTCTGGGATATTGTTGAGTGTGGCAAAAAAACAAACACATTTTCAAAAGCATTAAAGGTCACATGCAACCAAAAAATCAAACATAATTAAAACACAATTATCTCTTATTCATGACATATAATATACATTGCTGATTATGAAAAAAACATATAAACAAAATTATAAGCGTACAATCGCAAATCAAAGGTGCAATATTTTGTACTTGGGCTACTTCCCTCGAAACGAAGCACTCGGGATACCGAACCCAGTCAGAGCGGGTGGGTGTGCACTCAAGTATAACGAAGGCTTTCATTGGCTGGTTCATTTGCCAATGCCCTCACGGCTCATGTGTGTGTATATAGAGATGTTGGGTTTTGTAAATGCATGCTCTTTTTTGTGTATAACATTTTGCAATCAACAGACATGATAACATGTCATGTGTATAATTATCACACCTGCCTGTCTGTGTAATTACATTATGTGACAGAGACCGAACTCGGGCCATAAATCAATGCGTTTTGTTTATTGTGTATAGCCTGATAGGTGTTAAGTTCAAATGCTGGTCAGTGATCGATGTTGTGTATTGAATATTGTCATTAGCAGACAGGCAGGCAGACACATAGGTGTCAATAAAACAGACATTGATTTTTGTCTGTGACAACGACATGTCTATATAACAGTTAGAAATTCTGTCAACGCTAAATAATGACATTGCTTTTAAGCATCGAACTGAGAAAATGACTCGGTAAGAAGTACGTGTGGTGAAATAGTCAAATGAAATTATATAAACAGTTAAATCGGTAATCTACTGTCATAACATATAAAAAGCTCGCGCCTGTGAAATATCAACAAAACATTAGAAAAATAGCTCACATCAAAGCCTTCACCGAGTATTCACCGGACAACCCGCTTCCAAGCTCCGCGAACCTATTTCACTGCGCATGTGCTTATAATATGAGCGCAGCCCAGCTGTTGAAACAACTTCAATTCCCCAAGCGCTGGGGAAAGTTAGTGAATCGCTTGAACTACGATTTCGCGCGTTTTTTTTATCGCGTTATTTTTCAACTTTATAAGATGAATTTGCATTTTGATGATTTGTTTCGGTAAGTCCATACCGAAAGGTATCAGAATCTGCAAAGTTGTGTTTTACGTTGCATGTAAAAAGAACGCTGCCGGGACCCAAAAAATATGTCGGAATTCACAGATTGTCGGATAATTCAGATGTCCACTGTATAGTTGTTTTGCGCGGCAGTGTATCTACATGATTATCTCCCTCTCCCTACAGTGTATTTGTTGTGTGTGTTTCAGTTTCGTACAGTTTCGGCACCAGGCGACCTGCGCAGACTACAGTTGTTCCACAAGCATGGTCCAGCTGTGTTTGATTGGTTTGAGAACACGTTCGGCTCACCTTATCCTCTCACCAAATATGGTAGGGTCACCTTATGCTCTCACCAAATATGGTAGGCTCCATCTTATCCTCTTACCAAATATGGTAGGCTCACCTTATCCTCTCACTAAATATGGTAGGCTGCACCTATCCTCTCACCCTTTTTGTAGGCTCATCTTATGCTCTTACCAAATATGGTAGGCTCACCTTATGCTCTTACCAAATATGGTAGGCTCACCTTATGCTCTTACCAAATATGGTAGGCTCACCTTATGCTCTCACCAAATATGGTAGGCTCACCTTATGGTCTCACCAAATATGGTAGGCTCACCTTATCCTCTTACCAAATATGGCAGGCTCATCTTATGCTCTCACCAAATATGGTAGGCTCACCTTATGCTCTCACCAAATATGGTAGGCCCACCTTATACTCTCACCAATATGGTAGGCTCACCTTATGCTCTCACCAAATATGCTAGGCTCACCTTATGCTCTCACCAAATATGGTAGGCTCACCTTATCCTCTAACCAAATATGGCAGGCTCATCTTATGCTCTCACCAAATATGGTAGGCTCACCTTATGCTCCTCACCAAATATGGTAGGCTCACCTTATGCTCTCACCAAATATGGTAGGCTCACCTTATCCTCTTACCACATATGGTAGGCTCACCTTATCCCTCTTACCATGGTAGGCTCACCTTATGCTCTCACCAAATATGGTAGGCTCACCTTATGCTCTTACCAAATATGGTGTAGGCTCACCTTATGCTCTCACCAAATATGGTAGGCTCACCTTATGCTCTCACCAAATATGGTAGGCTCACCTTATGCTCTCACCAAATATGGTAGGCTCACAATAGCAGATTCCGTGTAGACAAAACAGAATGACGGTATTTATTATAAGAGATAACCGTTTAAACTGTAACAATACATAAATTATGGTGTTTCAATCTCTAATCAGGTGTTACAGCCAGCATGGTACAAAGCGATAAACGGGGGTTCGAATCCCCACTTGTGGCATCTGCATAGTTTACGAATAAATCTTCTGGACATCTTCTTAAGTAAAGTTCTTGGAAGGCATTTACATGAGTGAGTGAGTGAGTATAGTTTTACGCCGCTTTTAGTAATATTCCAGCGACATCACGGCGGGGACACCAGAAATGGAAACATTGTGCCCATGTGGGGATTCGAACCTGGGTCAACAGCGTAACGAGCCGACGCTTTAACCATTAGGCTACCCCACCGCCCCGGACGATGACTGACTGACTGAGTTTACGCCGCTTTTAGCAATATTCCAGCAATATCGGCGGGGACAGAAATGGGCTTCATTGTACCCATGTGGGGATTCGAAGGTCTTCGGCGTGACGAGCCAACGCTTTAACCATTAGGCTACCCCACCGCCCCGGACGAACATGAATACATTGACACGTTTGATTGATAACAACTTTTTATTCTTTATCACGATGTACTTATACGAGCTAAATCTCGCTCCTTCATCAGGTGAATGCTGAGTCAGTGTACGGTGTGCGTGCGTGCGTGCGTGCGTGCGTGCGTGCAAAGATAACAATGTAAAGACGAAGCCGATGATCATAGCACATTAACAGTATAACAATGTAAGACGAAGCCAGTGATTATAGCACATTGGAGTACACACTTCATTCACCTGATGAAGGAGCAAGATTTAGCTCTGAAACGTCGTGAGTGAGTTTAGTTTTACGCATCATTGAGCAATATTCCAGCAATATGGCGGCCGTCTGTAAATAATAGAGTCTGGACAAGATAATCCAGTGATCAGCACCATGAACATCAATCTTCGCAATTGGGATACGGTGACATGTGTCAACACAGTCAACGAGCCTGACCACCCTGTCCCGTTAGTCGCCTCTTATGACAAGCATGGGTTACTGAAGATCAATTCTAACCTGGAACTTAGCCGTAGTATTGCTGAAGTTTGCTGAAATATTGCTAAAACCGGCGTAAAACTAACCCCACTCACTTTGCCCCTTCAACCCAGAGGTCCATTGTTGGATGTGTAGAGGCACATTTGCTCCTTCAGACAACGTCGTGGTGAGGAACGCGGAACACGGCGTCGTGGGACACTTGGGCATGACGACATTCCGGGAGTCATTAGTGTCCACGGAGGAAGGAGTCATAACGGAGCAACGACTTGCACGACTCATAACTCAAGGAGTCTCTCACCAGGTATGTGGATCTGCATCATCCTCTACTGTATTACATCACTTCCGGTATGATGCATTCAATACGTCTATTTCCACCGGAGCATGGATGTAATGTAACCAGTCAACCCAGTCTCCGATCCAGGGATAGATTTGCGAAGCTCTCTTAGCGCTAACATAGTCGTAAATTAATGTGAATGTATGGCACTTACGACGTTCTTAGCGCTAAGAGAGCTTCGAAAATCTAGGCCCAGCAACACATGTCTGATGCCTGACCTAGGCATCGTATCCAAACTGCGTAGACCGATGCTCATGATATTGATCACTGGATTGACTGGTTTATACTCGATTAACTACAGACCGCCGCCATATAGCTGAAAATGTGCTGAGTGCGGCGTAAAACAACAAGCAAAAACACTAATATCACTGTTAACCCGTTAAGATCCGGGTTAGAATTGGTCTTCAGCAACCCATGATTGTCGTAAGAGGCGACTAACGCGACCGGATGATCAGGATCACGGACTTGACACACGTCATCGTATCCCGAATAAGTAGATCGATGCTCATGCTGTTGATCACTGGATTGTCTGGTTCAGACTCGATTATTTACAGACCGCCGTCATATGACTGGAATATTGCCGATCTTCATGGATCAACGTGCGTAGTGTACACCATTTATCAGTCAAATTAGGAGATAATCCTATTGTTTTAACTGTTAACATTTAAAACCGATAATTGATGACTGAAGACGACATGTTGCTTTGTAAGGGTTAATGAGTGCAAAATAAACTCAGAAGTGATGTCTAAAATGTTCAAAAATCTGAAGTTTTCCCTGATATCAATGTCAACATCTGTGTGTTCCCTGTCAACAACATATATCAGCCTATAGTTTTAATTACCAGTCACAACTCTCATCCCATTCTCAGTTATAGCAGTCGCCTGGTTTAAGAAACATATGGAATCCTAGAAGGGACATTGTCGCCTTGTCGCGTCGTCGCGTCATTTTGTCTTATTGCTTTTTGATACTTATTGCTTGTTTTTTAACCCTAAAGGAGACTAAAATGTCCTTCTGGGTGCAGGATTCCATCAGAAACATATTCGCCTCAATAATAATTAGTTTTCGTTAACCTCGGCCATTATGCATATTTCGCATGTGACCTTTCCGCTCGAGACGTCAAATGTGCCTTGAGTCCGCCATATATCGCCCAATATCTCGGCTTGTAGGCTGGTCTGTTTTGATATGGTCGTTGGCATACTTGACCAAGGAGACCAGGGACCGCTTGCACAAAGCGATCTTAGCGCTACGACTATTTTTAGTGCATGATTGGAGTATTGGAGATAGGATCTTCGTAGCGCTAAGATCGTTTTGTGCAAGTTGACCCAGAACACTCTCCAGGAATTGATGAATACTAGTGCTGTAACGATGCATCGAACTATAGATAGATTGCTGTTAGTCTCCGATAGCCATTAATGACTGACTGGCTGACTGAGTTTAGTTTTACGCCGCTTTTACAATATTCCAGCAATATCACGGCGGGGACACCAGAAATCGGCACATTGTTGAATCGAACCCGGGTCTTCGGCGTGACGAGCCAACGATACCCCCACCGCCCGCCATTAATCGATGGTAGAAACCAAAACATATCGATGCATTGATAGTATGTGTTACCATCGATAGTTTAGTAATTGACCTCCGTTGATAAATGCGCAGCGCAAAGTACAGGATGTTTTGGTGCAGACTTGCAGCTTTACTGAGTTTATGTTTTAACTGTTTACTTGATCTGTGTTTCAAGTTTCTTGTCAGTAATTAAAAGAGACTGAAATTACTTCAGATTGTTTTTATTTCATATAAACTATACATTAATTTGGGAAATGACTTCAAATGAGACAATTCAAGGAGGAAAAACTATTGCAATATATTGCAATAGTTAATCGCAGTAGACGATCGCTGTCGCAATAGTTGTTTCCCCTCAATAGTCAATAGTGAATACTAAACCGATGAGATTTCTCTTAGATCTTTCAGTTATCGCAAAATCACCTTCGTTTTACAGTGGTTTGGAGGCCTGGTGACCCCTGCCGGCGAGGAGTGGGCGTGGCTAAGTAGAGGCATTGCCACGTTTCTGGATTCGTATGCACTGGCTAAGATCTACCCTGAGTGGCGTGAGGTATTAGTGAGAGTAACACTAGAACGCTGTGATACATTACTGATTATCACATGGGATGAGTGTGGGTGAGTGAGTGGATGATTGGTGAGTGAGTGGTGGATGTATGTGCGTGACTGTGTGGATATTAGTGAGTGAGTGACTTATGGGTGGATGAGTGAGTGAGCGATTGGTCGATGATGGATGGATGTGCGTGAGTGAGTGTGTTATGGGGAGTGGATGAGTGAGTGATTGGTCGATGATGGATGGGTGAGTGAGTGAGTGGATGATGATGGATGGATGGATTGATATGAGTGAGTGAGTGACTGAGTGAGTTATGAGTGGGTGGGTGAGTGAGTGAGTGAGTCAAATAAAATCATGAGTTGATCTGACGCCACCTTGACCAGCATGTCAGTTAGGTCAGGGAGTGTCAGCTTCATGAGGTGAAAAAGCCCGTTGTAATGTAGATCTGTGCTCGTTTAAACACCAGCGGATTCGAACAACGTTGAAACAATGATCCCACATTGACAATTGCTGAATATAATCAGGAATTTACCTGGAATTCCGAACAAAGTGCCCATGGCAGCAAATCTATTCTCTCCCTAAATTGAGAGGCATTTACAGGCATAATACAAACTATCTGCCCAGCCCCTTCCTCTTCGTTTCTGCGTTTGTCTCTGAAATGTATATAATCTCTAAAAAGCCATAACATTATGATTCTCTCAGGCGCGTAGCAAGCCTCTCTTTTCGTGTAAGCCCGATAGGTTGCAAAGCTTCATATTTGACAATATTGAGGGCTTGCCTTCCCTTTTAACAACAATCTTGTGTAAGCCCGGGTTTTTTTTCATAATGGTTGCTACGCCCCTCTCTACGAAAAGAATCAGGAATCTGTATTCAGATTTAGGAATGAATTTCCAGTTTTGTAATTTGTTATAACGTTGAATACCCCGGCATCGTAGTAGGATAGATTAATATATTATCAGCTATTTGTTATTTCAGATCGAGATGTTTGTTGCAAAGGTACACACTAGTATGAAGATGGACGTGGATATATCTCGGCCCGTCAGCATCACGTCAGACAGACATGATCAGATCACACGCGAGAAGGTAGGATCTTGATTAGTGAATTAGTGGGGAGGTGGGTGTAGCCTTGTGGTTATTTTTTAAAGCGCACGCCGAAGACCCTGGATCGATCGTCCGCGTTGGTACAATATGTCCGTGATATTGCTAGAATACATGTATTGGTAAAAGCGGCGTAAATTAACACTCGCTCTTGTATCTATTGTCAGGGTGGAAGTATATTCCGCATGTGCTTCTACACACTGGGAGAAGAAGCAACTCTGAGGGGTCTAAATGTGAGTGTTGATATCTTTGGTACGGTAGCTGTGACATTGTTGTTTACCTTACCTTCATGTGAAATACTTTAATTTCATTGGTCAACGCCGCTTTAATTAGTTTCCGTGACACCCCTCCCAGGAGGGTGAGAACTGGAAAAAATATTACCCGCTGCCAAGGTAACCGCCAAACTCTCTGCCGAGAAGCTGTACGATAACACCCAACTTAAACATAATTAACCATATTTATAGCAGTGTTACGCTTGTCAGAATATGTTTCACTGGTTTAAAAATTCCAGTCGAGAGGTAGACGCCATTTTGTTTACATGTCATATAGTCAGTAGCGATCTTTAAAATAAAATTAAATGATATTTTGTACATTTAACATGGCGGTAAGATAACTACGTTGTATGCTTCTCTCGAGGGTAATACGGTCTGATGTACGCCTCTTTGTAACAGTGTCATCCCTCGCCAACCGTCTCGGGTAATACGGTCTCGCCTACCGGCTCGGGTGACACTGCTACAAAGAGGCGTACATCAGACCGTATTACTCTCGAGAGAAGCACACAAGTTATTAAATTGAAGTGCAAAAGAACACCTTCACAATGTTTGTGACTTTGTCACAACGAGTCACAATGAAACAACTTTTCAAAATATGTGTTGGCAAAGAATTCCCAAACAACAGGTGCGTACTTTCTTTTGCGCGTCAGTTTAGTTAAAGTTCCATTGGGTGTAGCTACCCATGTCTGGTGACAATCACCCCCATATGATGAAAAGAATCCGCGCCAAAATAAATATATGAACATTCTTTGAGGCAAGTTTACAACTAGGCAAACGGTGGAGTTTAAAACGTCATATTCTGTGGACACTCTGAAAATATAAACGTATCTTTGTCTTCCAAGGAGTACGTTCAGCAAAATTTGTCCAGGGTACATACGCCTTTGACTGAACGTGTCTGTATTGTTGCGAGAATAAAGCTTAATACCCGGGTTAAAACTGGTTTTCAGCAACCACTTCTTGTCGTATGAGGCGACTCAAGGTCAAGGTCAGACCCACTGTCTTGTTTGACATAGGTCATCATATCCCATTTGGGTAGATCAATGCTCATGATGTTAATCACTGGATTATCTGTCACACAGCTGGAATATAGTGTGGCGTTACATAACAATCAACCAAACATGGCTTATTTCTGTTTTATCGGAACCCAGACGTTTCTACGGCGGCACCAGTATGGGAGCGTGACCTTCACTGACCTATGGACAGTGCTGGACGAGGTAAGGATGGTTAGAATTGATCTTCAACAACCCATGCTTGTCGTAACGTTTCGACTAACGGAGTTGGATGGTTCAGGCTCGCTGTCTTGGTTGACACATGTCATCGTATCCCAACTCCGTAGATCGATGTTCATGATGTCAGTCACAGGATTGTCTGGTCCAGAATCGATTATTTCCAGACCGCCGCCATATTGCTGGAAGATTACTGAGCACGGCGTTAAAGAATACAGAAATAAACAAACAAACAAACAAGCAATTGTTTAAATTGTTGGAAGATTAAAACTGTCTCCATGTTGAAGGTGGCGAGGGATGAGAACGTGACAATAGACACCGAGAGTTTTCTGGATCCGTGGCTCACACAGAAACACTTCCCCATGGTGACGGTGCAAAGGTCAAGGTCAGGGTCAGTGCATATCAAACAGGAGTTGTTCAGGAAGGATATGTCCAGCCAGATAGACAGCGGCTACGCACCTTATGGGTAAGTATAACTACAGTTACTGGCAAACAAGGATAAATTGAACCGGCGCAGAGAACGCGTTTACGAGAAGTAGACTGTGCACGGCAATGAGCAAACCCATTTGATTTGTGAAAGGTAGAGCAGATGTAGGCTAGTGCACGTGCATTACATGACGTTGGAACTGATTCCGCGCGTAGCTGCACACGCCTTGCTCATTTGAGCAAGTCGCACTACACTTGATCGCGGACAACATGGGGCCCCTTCGCTAACAATGGCAAGCGCCAGTAGGCGGCACCTGTACATGCTAATACGGGTCAGTTGTCAGGTCGGTGCTCAACTTATCCTTGTTTGCCAGTAATTGCTGTTCGAACGAACTCAACGAGACCACAAATAGAAGTTCGTTATAAGCGTAGTTCGTTGTACTCACTTAAACTGGAATATAGGGTAAATGTCCTGGACCATAAAAATAGTTCCTTAAAACTGCCAGTTCGTGATAACCGAGTTCGTTATAAACGTAGCTTACTGTATTAATTACATGGTAACATGGGTAAATGTAACTATCAGTTCTGGGTGTGGATGCAAGATATTGATAGATATTACTGTCAGTGGATACACGACTGAGAACAGTTATCTTGTGGAAAATATGACTTCATTATAAATACAGTAAATAACTTTTAAATCGAAGTGGGTTATGACGAACTGCGGATGTAACGAGCTGTGTTTTGGTCCAGACACTTGCTATAATTTTTTGTCGCACTGCTTATAACGGACTGAAATTAATCGTCCCTTTGATCTCGTTATAACCACAATTTAATCCAATCTGACTGAGTTTAGTTTTACACCGCTTTTACCAATATTCCAGCAATATCACTACGGGGGACACCAGAAATGGGCTTCACACATTTTGCCCACGTGGGGAATCGAACCCGGGCCTTCGGCGTGACGAGCGAACGCTTTAACCACTAGGCTACCCCACCGCCCCTAATCCAATCTGAAAGTGGATCATGTCTAGCAGGTACCACGTGTAACTGAACATTATCGGCCGAGAATTGTGCTGTTGGTACGACAGGCAATGCATTCAGTAGTTCCGAGCCATACGCCATCAGACCAAAGATACCGCCATGTTATGTCTATTGCGGTTGGGTAGCCCAGTGGTTAAGGCGTTCGCTCGTCACGTCGATCTCCGGATAACTCGATCTTTTCCAACGTGGACAACACAAAGAGGTTAGACAGTGTATAATGTTTTACTTTCCTTCACGGGGCGGTGGGGTAGCCCAGTGGTTAAAGCGTTCGCTCTTCATGTCACAACCCGGGTTCTATTCCCCACATGGGTACAATGAGTGAAGCCCATTTCTGGTGTCCCCCGTCGTGGTAATACTGGAATATTGCTAAAAGCGGCGTAAAACTAGACTCACTCACTATTGCAGATACATGTGGGATATCCCCATAACAATTACATCGAGTGTGAAGACAGTCTGGAACACGGCCTCCCAGCACCGTGATATCCTGTGGCTGAGGAAGAGCGAGCCCGAAGGTAAGTGCACATCTTGGCGTAGTGGCAAGAGAAAGGTATGCATAATGATTTCAATCTTTGACAATAGCCGTAAACATTCCGAGAAATACATACATGGTTATCTGTAGATGACACACGTTATAAGAAAAACGGAATGTGAGTCAAGTGAAGCAATTTGTATTTTACACATCCGAAAATAGTTCGTTTTAAGCGTAAAAATTTATGCATAGTTTTGTGATCCCAGGGGCGCATTAATACATAACCCACATAATTAATGACGTAATCAAACAGTGTGTTGTGCTGACGTCATGCATTGGGTTGGGTGAATATGGAGTGAGTGAGTTTAGATTTACGCCGCTTTAGCAATATTCCACGACGTCGCTTTGTAAAATATATTTTGGCTACAAAAATAACGGGCGACGTCGCGGGCGACGTCTGACTATATCGAGTGGTGTAGCCTCTGAACGTGGTTGACCCAGATTACGTCAAAAAGAAGAATCGTTAAACGAAACAGAATTTAAAACGCAAAAATGCTTCAGTCACTCCCGATAAACTTTTCTGTCAACCCGAAAATGTTTTTACACCTATATCCAATCAAATACCACCCTAGAAGGCCACTGTTCATTGTATGTAAGGCATATCCATCTGCAAATGAAACGATCCCTTCACCACACTCTAAACATAATCACCGCCACTATTGTTCGGTCCGGCATACCTCGGGCCGTCAAAAGCAGCTTAAACCTCACACATGTATCTTGAATTGCGTTTTAATTCACAGATTGGTATTACATCTACCTATATATCACTGTTCCAGCCCTTTTCTCTCTCCATTTTCACCCGTGAAGGTCCGGATTAGAAAGTGACTTTAGTAACCCAAGCTTGTCGTAAGAGGCGACTAACGGGAGCGGGTGGTCAGGCTCGTTGACTTGGTTGACATATGTCGTCGGTTCCGAAATGCGCAGATCAATGTTCATGCTGTTGATCACTGGATTGTCTGGTTCAGACTCGATTATTTACAGACCGCCGTCATATAGCTGGAAAATTGCTGAGTGCGGCGTAAAACTAAACTCACTCACTCACTCACTCACTCACTCTCCATTTTCAACATAGCCTCAGTCAAAAGTGTTAAGTCTCTGTTGGCCCCACTTGGCCCGGGCTGTCAAAAGCAACTTAAACCTCACACATGTACCTTGAAGTCTCACAGATGAATCCTAGATTCTGTTTACATCCAATGAATATAGTTATATCTATCTAAATACCACTTTATAGACCCAGTTGTAACATCACAATGTGGCATTTAGGTAGATATACTACTGATCTATGGATTTAAACACATTTCAAGATACATGTGTGAGGTTTAAGTTGTCTTTTGACAGCCCGAGCCAAGTCGGGCCGAACAGACTGAACACTTTTGATTCAGGCTATTTTGAGGGTGGGCAGACAAGGGCTTCACTTTAACGGAGCAGCTACCTTTACATGTGGCATTTTGTAACATTTCAATGTGATATGTAGGTAGATATAATACTAATCTATGTATTTAAGCACAATTAAAGATACACTTTTGAGGTGTTAGGTGCTTTTGACAACCCGAGCCAAGCCGGACCGAATGCTTGTGACACAGTGTGTTTGTTGAGAATATATAGAAAAGAAGCCTTCACTTCGAGCAACGTGTTTGCTTGAAATACTATGCTTTGCGACTCTATAAAGAAGTATTTAGGTAGATATAATACAATTTTGCCTTTCATGTGTACTAGCAAATTTAAGCATCTGCATACGCGCTGGCTATCGGATTTGGGCTGTTGTTGTTTACGGTTACGCCCTACGACGTAGTTCTTGTTTTTTACGCGCCACGCGATGGCAATTATAGTACACCATAGTTATGGCCAGGTATACCCTGTTTAAAAGTAATATATTTTATTATAATAATCAAAATCTTATTTTGCAAATCAGCGACCTTTCACAACCTGTCCATTCCTAATGAGACGGATCCCGATGGCTGGTTTCTCGTCAACCCCGACGTCATCGGCTACTACCGCGTCAACTACGACGACAGAAACTGGCAAGCAATCCTGAAGCAGTTGAAGAGGGACCACACGGTAGATTGGGCTTAACGCTGTGTAGATGAGTGTCACTTGGAGTAATATCCCTCCCTTCAATCCCCCAAACCCCGGGAAAGTCTGGGGTAGAATACTGATCTTCAGTAACTCATGCTTGTCGTAAGAGGCGACTAACGGGATCGGGTGGTCAGGCTCGCTGTTGATCTCTGGATTGTCTGGTCCAGACTCGTTTATTTACAGACCGCCGCCATATAGCTGGAATATTGCTGAGTGCGGTGTAAAACTAAACTCACTCAATCACTCACTCACTCATTCCAAGACTTGCCCCCTCCCCCCCCTCACCTGCCCGTACTACCCCTTCCTCCTCCTTCTGTATGTTTGTCGTTTAACGCCCCACCCAGCAATATTCCCGCTGTATTACAGTTGTTTTTTAGAGACAGTTAGACAGATTGTTTATTAACGTCTCACCATATATACATATAAAACATTACATTTAAATAAACGACTCTGGACCAGACAGACCAGTGAATGACATCATGAGCGCCGACCTACGCAAATGGGATATGATGACGTACACCCAAACCGGTATGGTTGAGGCAAGTATGGGTCGCTGAAGACCAACTCTAGCCGGGATCCCAGGGATACAATTTGTTATTATTTTTGGACGTTGGGGTAGCCTATTGGTTAAAGCGTTCGCTCGTCACGCCGAATAGCCAGGTTCGATTCCCAAAATGGGTACAATGTGTGAAGTCCATTGCTGGTGATGTTGCTTGTATTTTGCTAAAATCGGCTTAAAACTTGTAAAAGGTTGTCAGTTCTTGTTCTGCGACCAGGGTAAGGCAGTGATCTTACAAGGAACCACACATGCCGGGCATTCCAGACATCCGATACACATTTGGAGTTTTGGGGACACTATTTTCGTACGAATCCCAGAAGTGATGGACATTTGAGAGTGAATCCTCAAAAACACTGTGCAAATATACTGAAAGCCATTAAAAAATAAATTTGACATTCAGACTTTCTTTACTCACACTAATTTCAACATATATAAACCTAACTGGCAGATATGTTTTAAGTGAACATCTGTGAATAATTTCATCTGAAAATGTCCAGTCAACAACAACATCAGTGACGCAACAACGACATCACACAAAGGAGGGGTCACTTGCAGTCAATATCGTGTGTGTCCACCGTGCGCTGCAAGACATGCTCGCAGTCTTTGGGGCATTGAAAGACACACATTTCTCAGGAACAGCTGTTGGATGGTCTGCAGCCTCTGATGGTCTGTGGTCTGATCATGACACCACCCCCTCCAAAACGATCATGTTCAAGGACACAGTTTGGCGCAAGTCTTTCTCCTTTACGTCGATAAATCTGTTGACGGATAAGTTAAACCTGGATTCATCTGAAAAAATGACGTCCTTTGCACCTTTTGGGCGCTGAAATGACGTTGGCTTGTCCCAATTGTCCTCCTTGCCTAATCGTCAGCTGTTTGGAACCGATTTCGCAAGTGTGAAACTCGGATATTGCGGTTTTGTCGAGCTGTTATCACAGGTGGTGCACCAGGTCGCGGACGATCAGCAACACTTCCGGTAGCCCGAGAACGTTGTCTGAGTCGACTTACAGAGGATGGATGCACATTAAAGTGCCTGGCAATCATCACATCTGAAGCACCTTGGCTGACCATACCGATAACCTGATTCCTGTCGTCTTGTGTCAAGTGTGGCATTTTCTCAAAGTGATTGAGTTCCACAATTCCTTGTGCTTTTACAGGGCCTGGGTGCAGGTAATGCATGTGCACACCGTGTTTCATGAATGTGGTTGTGTTTACGAGAAATGTCAAAGGATCAGTTTTAAGTATCCAAGTTCATGTGAGAGGAATGTTGCGGGACTCGAACTCGAAATGGGCCAGAGTAACAGCCTTTTATCCCTACAACCTCTGTATCGCAGGAAAAAGTCTTCAGTAGAACTTTTGTAAGTTTCAGGACAACAAATACCAATTGGGTTTTTAATGGGTTACAGTATATGTGAAGCAGTACAGATGTTGATTCGATAGAGTGGGTGGGTATAGATTTAGGTCGCTTCAAGCAATATTTTAGAAATATAAAGGCAGGGAGGCCAGATATAAGCCTGAAAAACAGCAGCCTTATAGGGACTCAAACTCGTGCCTTTGGTGTGACGAGCGACACCTTATCCAGTGCACTACTCCAAACCCCCGCAGCATAAACATATACTCTTAAAAAATAGTAGCGGAACCTGAATAAAACGTATAAGCGTTAACAAACTTTTCAAAGACAGACATTTTATGAACCCACCACCATTTCTCTTTATCACCACCCGCCCGGAGAGCGGAAGGTCGCGGGTTCGATCCCGGACCGCGTCATACCAAAAGACGTTAAAATATGGTACTTGTTGGTCCCTCCCTGGCGCTCGGCATTAATGGGTACAACAAGGACTGGTCGGCTCGGAGTCAGTATAATGTGTCTGAGTGGGGTATTCATGCTTCACTGCGGCATGGTATCTCAGTGGGCTAGCACTATAAAACCAGCTTCAGTCTGGGCTAGTACAAGCAGCCGCACATACACATACACACGCATGCACGTCGTCATATGAGCGAAATATTCTCAAGCATGACGTAAAACCCAATTTCACCTCACCTGTCACCACCCCCAAACACAACGTGTGTGGTGCACGTGCACAACGCAGTAGCCATTCTTGATTTTGACGGTTTTCAAGAAGGTCGATAAATCACTGTAGACCATGAATTTTGACAATCATCTTGCATGACACGGTTGTTAGTGTTTGTTTCTTGACGCTTTTTATTTGAAAATGAAAATCGTACACCTGCAAATTTTACTTCATACACCAATCATCTTTCGAGAGCGATTACTGTACAAACATCTATGGTCATAAGGACGTGCAAGTGGTGATGCACTCTCTAAACATTCACTATCATCATACCATCATTGATTGACTCCGATATATCTCCAAATGTTCCAATTGTAAATTAAAAATGAAGTTCCCCTACTTTTTGGAAGTCCGATCGCTTTTCGTACGTGCAGAAAATTGATTAAGTTTGTTTGATTTTTCAATTTCAGGTGTTCTCTGCCAAAAGTCGGTCTCAAATAATCAACGATGCTTTCGCCCTCTATAAGTAAGTAGGTAAATGGTTTGTTCATCATATTCGCAGGGTTATTATGTTTTAGGACCAGTCTGTGTACCCACATTAAGCTCTACAGAGTTGCATCCCTTTGAGACGCAAGGAACCTATGATCAGTGATTCCAATTCTGTTTCGGGGAGAATATCTTTCTGGGTTTGCAGTAACAAACCTCTGCTCATGGGTTTGACCAAACTGATTTGTTTGTCTGTTTGTTTGTTGCTCAACGCCGCACTCTATATGACAGCGGTCTGTATATAATCCAGTCTGGACCAGACATTCCAGTGATTGACATCATGAGCATCGATCAGCACACTTGGGGTGACTGTCCCACACAGCTTAACATAACAACATATACTACTCACACTTTGCTAAGGATCACAAAAATTCGCAACTTTACTTAAAAGTAGATTTATAATTTGAAATTGTATCCTTTTAAAACTGGATAAATAATGATATGGTAACACATCTTTAGGAAAACAGATACTTTAAGCTAACCATATGCACTAGATACATGAGTAACCATAAAAATGGTTTTCATGGCACCAATCAACCATTTTGCAGATCATGGCATGGGTAATGTACACAACACCTGTCAGTAGCAGGTATGGGATCCAGCAGATGAAATGAGATACTGAAATCTAGGATCCATACTTACAATAGGCTTAGGTATTTAAACTAAATTTGACCCTACATCATAGTTTTCTGTTGAATCAATGTTTTGATCCTCTGCAAAGTGTGAATAGTATATAGTTGGTTGGTTTGTTGTTTCACGCCGCGCTCAGAAATATCACATTTAATATTCGGCTGTCTGTAAATAATTGAGTCTGGACCAGACAACCCCATGATTAACAGCATGAACATCGATTTGAGCAATTCGAATACGACATGTGTCAACCAATGTCAACGAGTCTGACCACCCGATCCTGTTAGTCGCCTTTTATGACAAGCATGAGTTACATCAGAGTCCTAATGGAAATAAAAATGGAACATGTCAAACATACAAGTTTTTCAAACTGAACTCAAAATTAATTTTAATATCTTCAACTATATGATTTCAGATCACGGGCTCTGGATGTGACGATCGCCCTGGCGACACTAGATTACCTGCAGCACGAGCTGGATTACCTCCCTTGGCTGACGGCGTTACGTGAGATCGGGGAACTTGATGATATAATGGATCGGACCCGGTTGTATGACGCATTTGAGGTTAGCTGAAATTGCGTAACCTGTCAACTTAGATGTATGAGTGAGTGAGTGAGTGAGTGTGTTGGTTTTACGCCGCTTTTAGCAATATTCCATCAATATCACCAGAAATGGGGACATTGTACCCAGAAAATGGGCCTTGACGAGCCACATTGTACCCAACGCCCTTGGTGCTGGAATATCATGAAAATAATGATTTCGTTGAATGACACGGGCATGTTCTTCAATATGGCAGCCGTACGTCAGTTTATTGACATCTTCGCGATAAACAAATCAGACAGTGGCACTAGCACACTGCCATAACATACCTGACTAGACTGCTCGAAAACTGTTTTCTAATCGCACCGTACATAGGCGTGTACCAAGCAACCGCTCCTTGGATGTAGAACTAGACATGACACATCATATAAGGCGATTATCTCCTCCCGTGCGGTGAGGTAGCCTACACACACACACACACACGTCACGCCGAAGACACACATCATTCACACACACACACACACACACACACACACACACCCCGCCCTCGTGATATAGCTTAACCGTTACAAAAACAGCGTAAAGCCGTACTCACCCACCCCTCCTACTAGATACAGGATGCGCTGGTAGAGGTTCGAATCCCATATTTACCCTTAAATGTTCGTAGGTTTGTCAGCGTGGGTGTCGATAATGTGATAAACGTGTGAGATGTGCATTACTCAGGGATTTCCTCCCAGATTAAACAGACACGCCGTGATATTACTGGAATACTGTTCAAAACTGAGTCAAACCCAACTCACTCACTCATGTACTTATTAGTTATTTCCTCAGTTTTTCCCACCGCGGTTATCTGTGGGTTCTAGCCAGCCAGTGAGTGAGTGAATGTTGTTTTACGCCGTTCTTAGGCAGTACTCCAAAACTGCCCCAGCAGGAGAACACCAGAAATGGACTTTACCCATTCAGCCTTAGACGGGGATAGAACCCGGTTCTTCAGTGTGATCAGCGAACGCTTTATCCACTAAGCTACCCCACCTCTTCCTGATACAATCGAAAACTTGGTAAAAATGATCAAATATTTCGGTATGTTTTTTCATTAAAGCTCTGGGTGCCGTTGTACAAAGTGACCTTAGCGGTAAGGTGACCATAATTCCCATACTTTTACATTGACTTAAAGTAGTCTTAGCGCTAAGGTGACCATGATCCCATACTTTTACATTGACTTAAAGTAGTCTTAGCGCTAAGGTGACCATGATCCCATACTTTTACATTGACTTAAAGTAGTCTTAGCGCTAAGGTGACCATGATCCCATACTTTTACATTGACTTAAAGTAGTCTTAGCGCTAAGGTGACCATGATCCCATACTTTTACATTGACTTAAAGTAGTCTTAGCGCTAAGGTGACCATGATCCCATACTTTTACATTGGCTTAAAGTAGTCTTAGCGCTAAGGTGACCATGATTCCCATACTTTTACATTGACTTCAGGAAGTCTTAGCGCTAAGGTGACCATAATTCCCATACTTTTACATTGACTTAAGGTAGTCTTAGCGCTAAGGTGACCATAATTCCCATACTTTTACATTGACTTAAGGTAGTCTCAGCGCTAAGGTGACCATAATTCTCATACTTTTGCTTTGACTTAATGTAGCCTTAGCGCTAAGGTGACCATAATTCCCATACTTGTACATTGACTTAAGGTAGTCTCAGCGCTAAGGTGACCATAATTCCCATACTTGTACATTGACTTAAGAGTAGTCTTAGCGCCAAGGTGACCATAATTCCCATACTTGGCCACATTGACTTAAGGTAGTCTCAGCGCCAAGGTGACCATAAATTCCATACTTGTACATTGACTTAAGGTAGTCTTAGCGCTAAGGTGACCATAATTCCCATACTTGTGTACATTGATCTCTTAAGGTAGTCTTAGCGCTAAGGAGACCATAATTCCCATACTTGTACATTGACTCTAAGGTAGTCTTAGCGCTAGGTGACCATAATTCCCATACTTGTACATTGACTTATTAGTAGTCTCAGCGCTAAGGTGACCATAATTCCCATACTTTTACATTGACTTACAGGGTAGTTTTAGCTAAGGTGACCATAATTCCCATACTCTGTACATTGACTTAGGGTAGTCTTAGCGCTAAGGTGACCATAATTCCCATACTTTTGCTTTGACTTAGCAGGTGGTCTTAGCGCCAAGGTGACCATAATTCCCATACTCTGTACATTGACTTCTTACGGTAGTCTTAGCGCTAAGGTGACCATAATTCCATATACTTTTACATTGACTTAGGGTAGTCTTAGCGCCAACGTGGCCATAATTCCCATACTTTTACATTGACTTAAGGTAGTCTTAGCGCCAGGTGACCATAATTCCCATACCTCAACATTGACTTAAGGTAGCCTTAGCTTCAAGGTGACCATAATTCCCATACTTCAACATTGACTTAAGGTAGTCTTAGCGCTAAGGTGGCCATAATTCCCATACCTTTACGTTGACGTAAGGTAGTCTTAGCTAAGGTGACCATAATTCCCATACTTCTTTACATTGACGTAAGGTAGTCTTATCGCTAAGGTGACCATAATTCCCATACTTGTACATTGGGACTTTAAGGTAGTCTTAGCGCTAACGTGGCCATAATTCCCATACTTTTACATTTACTTAAGGTAGTCTTATCGCTAAGGTGACCATAATTCCCATACTTTTACATTGACTTAAGGTAGTCTCAGCGCTAAGGTGACCATAATTCCCATACTTTCACATTGACTTAAGGTAGTCTCAGCGCTAAGGTGACCATAATTCCCATACTTTTACATTGAGTTAGAGTAGTCTTAGCGCTAAGGTGACCATAATTCCCATACTTTTACATTGACTTAAGGTAGTCTTAGCGCTAAGGTGACCATAATTCCCATACTTTTGCTTTGACTTAAGGTAGTCTTAGCGCTAAGGTGACCATAATTCCCATACTTGTACATTGACTTAAGGTAGTCTTAGCGCTAAGGTGACCATAATTCCCATACTTTTACATTGACTTAGGGTAGTCTTAGCGCTAACGTGGCCATAATTCCCATACTTTTACATTGACTTAAGGTAGTCTTAGCGCTAAGGTGACCATAATTCCCATACTTCAACATTGACTTAAGGTAGCCTTAGCGCTAAGGTGACCATAATTCCCATACTTCAACATTGACTTAAAGTAGTCTTAGCGCTAAGGTGGCCATAATTCCCATACTTTTACGTTGACGTAAGGTAGTCTTATCGCTAAGGTGACCATAATTCCCATACTTGTACATTGACTTAAGGTAGTCTTATCGCTAAGGTGACCATAATTCCCATACTTTTACATTGACTTAAGGTAGTCTCAGCGCTAAGGTGACCATAATTCCCATACTTTTACATTGACTTAAGGTAATCTTAGCGCTAAGGTGACCATAATTCCCATACTTTTACATTGACTTAGGGTAGTCTTAGCGCTAAGGTGACCATAATTCCCATACTTTTACATTTACTTAAGGTAGTCTTAGCGCTAAGGTGACCATAATTCCCATACTTCAACATTGACTTAAAGTAGTCTTAGCGCTAAGGTGCATAATTCCCATACTTTTACGTTGACGTAAGGTAGTCTTATCGCTAAGGTGACCATAATTCCCATACTTGTACATTGACTTAAGGTAGTCTTATCGCTAAGGTGACCATAATTCCCATACTTTTACATTGACTTAAGGTAGTCTCAGCGCTAAGGTGACCATAATTCCCATACTTTTACATTGACTTAAGGTAATCTCAGCGCTAAGGTGACCATAATTCCCATACTTTTACATTGACTTAGGGTAGTCTTAGCGCTAAGGTGACCATAATTCCCATACTTTTACATTTACTTAAGGTAGTCTTAGCGCTAAGGTGACCATAATTCCCATACTTTTACATTGACTTAAGGCAGTCTTAGCGCTAAGGTTGTTTTGTACAACAACACCCTGGTTATGTACCTATTTTGCTTATACGGCGCCGCAATTCGACGTGTAGAGTTACTTCCCTTAGTTGTAGCGACGTATTATTTAAATGAAATAATTCATCGTCAAATTTACGAGTATTGTCTCTATTTCAGCAATATATGAAGGACCGATTGAAAGCAGCTTTCCAACACTGCGGGCTGTGGGCGAATATAGACGACGTCCCGATGGATATGTAAGGCTTGTCTTCAGTAGGGATCCCGGGTTGGAGCGTAGTCGTTGGGGGTAGCCAGGCGGTTAAAGCGTTCGCTCATAACGCCAGAGACCCGGGCTCGATCCCGTCATGGGTACAATGTGTGTGAAACCAATTTTGGTGTTCTCGCCATGATATTGCTGAAATATTGCTGAAATATTGCATAAAGCGACGTAAGACCATGCACAATCATTTACGCTTGGTTATAATTGTTTTCCATAACTTTATTGTGTGTTTGTACCATGCTCCTTTTTAGTGAGTGAGTGAGTTTAGTTTTACGCCGCACACAGAAATATTCCAGCTATATGGCGGCAGTCTGTTAATAATCGAGTCTGGACCAGACAATCCAGAGATCAACAGCATGAGCATCGATCTGCGCAATTAGGAGCCGATGACATGTGTCAACCAAGTCAGCGAAACTGACCACCCGATCCAGTTAGTCGCCTCTTACGACAAGCATGGGTTATTGAAGATCAGTATTCTAACCCGGACCTTCACGGGTGCTCTTTTTTAAGCAGCCTAATATGCTATATTTATAATTGGGAAACAGATTCCGCGAAGTTTTTCTGTTTCACCTCCAGGCTACAGAGGAAACAGATAGCAGAGTGGGCGTGTCGGTACAGGCTGCAGGCGTGTTTGGATGCCGCGTCTGTCGTGTTCATTGAATGGACCGAAGGGAAACGGTGGGTATAGCAGTCTCACCTTAGTTCCACGCAGACTGGATTCCTGACTATGCTGCGCTAGCGCTTTACTGCCGGAAACACCCGCGCAGCATAGCTAGGAAACCAGGTTGAGTTCCAAAGCAAATCTATTGTGGGTTCGAATCCCTTGTGAAATATTTACCCCTGATAGCTTCATCCAGATAGAAAGATTTAACAGTAATGAATTATACCCCCGCCTCTCCAACCAGTCAAAAAGGGTTTATGTTTGTTTGGAAAACAACGTATCTCCCATGAAATTATTATTTTTGTAAGATTTGGTGACGAAAATTAGCGTACGACTTACTTATTATGTGTGTGCCATGATATTAATGCATAGCAGAAACTTGCAATACTTATTCCAAGCCGGTGAAAATTTCTTGATTTCATGCCGGCTTGCTTTTAATTAAAATACAAGGAGAATAAATTATCCTCATGTACATTCGCATCAATAGTTCAGACTAATGTAGAAAATAATTATTGACTGACATGCCCAGCTGGCAGAATATATCTATATTTTAAACACGTACCTCAAACTATGTACGTGTGCGATATGAGAGAAACATTTTTCGAGCAGTCTAGACAGGTATGAATTATGGCAGTGTGCTAGTGCCACTGTCTGATTTGTTTATCATGTACGAAGATGTCAATAAACTGACGTACGGCTGTGTTCCATATTGTTGTAGTAACATGCACGTGTCATTCAACGAAATCATTATTTTCATGATATTCTTTATCAGCACCAAGGAGCGTTGAGGTAGCCTAGTGGTGAAAACGTTCGCTCGTCATGCCGAGGCCCGGGTTCGATTCCCCATATGGGTACAGTGTGTGAAGCCCATTTCTGGTGTCCCCCGCCGTAATATTGCTCGAACATTGTTAAAAGCGGCATAAAACTGAACTCACTCACTTACCCATTACCGTAAAGGATAGCTGTGGTGTTTTGGCAACATGTACACAATGTTTATTGCTTTACCTGCTCCCTTAGCACATCGAGGTCAGAGTTATAGATGTGGCAACTTTGTATCCATAAGAATCGTATTTTAAGACATTAATTAGGATAATGTATTGTCTCCCAGCACCCTGTCGGCTGACGTCAGGTCAACCGTGTACTGTTACGGCGTCATGAACGGCAGTCAGAACGCCTGGGACGTCGTGTACAACGCTTCCCTCAACAGATCATTGTCCTCCAGTCATAAGAAGGCGTTAGATCGGGCACTGGGGTGCGCAAGTGAGCCTTCGATGATTGAACGGTAGGTTTTGTGTTACAGACATCCTTACAAAGTTGGTTGGTTGGTTGACCCGTGAAGATCCGGGGTAGAATAGGTCTTCAGCAACCCATGTGCTTGCCATAAAAAGGCGACTATCTTGTCGTAAGAGGCGACTAACGGGATCGGGTGGTCAGTTTCGCTGACTTGGTTGACAAATGTCATCGGTTCCCAATTGCGCAGATCGATGCTCATGCTGTTGATCACTGGATTGTCTGGTCCAGACTCGATTATTTACAGACCGCCGCCATATAGCTGGAATATTGCTGAGTGCGGCGTAAAACTCAAACTCACTCACTCACTCACCCCTGGTTGGTTGGTTTGTTGTTATCTCCCAACGCTGTACGTCAGTAATATTCCAGCGTATGAACGGCGCTGTCAGAACGCCTTCGTGTACAATAATAGTCCTCCAGGACCAGACGCAAGTTAGATCTCACTGGGGTGATCAACCTTCATGATTGAACGGGCGGTTTTGTAGCCGAGTGGCCTTATTCATTTTGTTGAAAACGCTGATCTACGCAATGGCGGGGTCTGAAAACCATTGTCTGGACTAGACCATCATTGAGACCCGTCTATTCGGGGTAGAATAGGAGGCAAACAAAGGGGTGGTGGCGTCTGCAGGAAGGGGCGGTCAGGTTTCGCTGGCCAAAACCGTTCGCTCTTCACGCCGATGAGAGACAGGTTCGATTCCCCAAAGTGGGTTCAATGTATGAAGCCAATGTCTGGTTCTGACAATTATGGTGCTATTATTCCCTGTTACAAATGTTTGTTTGTTGTTTAACGCCACACTAACATCTTCCAGCTATATGGCGGTGGTCTTTATAACTCTGTAAATAATTGAACGAGACAATCCGGTGATCAACACATGAGCATCGACCTACGCAATTGGGATGCGATGACATGTGTCAACCAAGTCAGCCTGACCACCCGATCCCGGTAGTCGCCGTTTACGACAAGCATGGGTTACTGAAGATCAATTCTGACCCGGATCTTCACGGGTCTCCTTACAAAGGGTTTTTATTAGCCTTGACATGTGGTTGACACGATATCTGCATTTTCTCTACTTAGTCCTTAGTGTGTGTCACTGATGTTGTGCTGACAATACGGCATGCCTCTTTACTGTAGAGGCGGTGGGGTAGCCTAGAGGTTAAAGCGTTCTCGCGTCACGCCGAACACCCGGGTTTGATCTCCACATGGGTACAATGTGTGAAGCCCATTTCTGCTGTCCCCCCAGAGTAATATTGCTGGAATATTGCTAAAAGCGGCTTGAAACTAAACTAAACTCACCGAAATTATATATTTTAATGTTCCAGGCTGCTGGAACGATTCCTTCCTGCCGGGACGCCCGATCTGGGCCAGAGAGACGCCATCTTGTATACCCTGACCAGATCTCACCGTGCCAGGGACGCCGTGTGGACGTACATCCAGGAACATCCCAACAGGTCAGTCGTCTGGCATTACCATTTATCTTGCCTCACATACAAAATTCGTTTTCTGATTGGCTGAGCGATCTTCTATTATTTTCAATGTACCCAGCTTACAAGCGAGTGACATTTTCTATATACCCCTCTGGGAATACCGAACTCATTTGGTACTTCGTAGTAGTAATTCTTGATCTCGAATAACATTGAATCACGTATGGTGTACGGAAATTACCGATGTTTTGCGAATGCAAATCGATAGAAGGGAGATAACTCTATATTTGTTTTTTCATGTTGTCTTGTCTTCTGGTACGCCATACTGTGATCCGATACCCGTGCTTCAAACAGTTCAAAATTACCATTGAGGTGTTCGGTAAGATAAATACGTTGTTCACAGGGCCCTCGGGGCCAATGGGTTAATGTACCCTCGATGTTTCTTTATGTTCCCCTCGCCCTTCGGGCTCAGGGAACATAAACAAACATCGAGGGTACATCAGCCCATGTCCCCCTCGAGACCAGTGAACAACTTATAATGTAGTCCGTGAATTAGTGGCGCAGAGATGTTGCATAGTGCCGTTACAGCCAGACTCTGCATAGTCGTTGTGCAGAGTTATCTTCCTTAGTAGAGACATTCGCTGCACATTCGTTGTTGGGATGGGATGCTTCTTCTGTCTTCGTATGTGGATTGAATGAGTTTAGTTTTACGCCACACTCAGCAATATTCCAGCTATATGGCGGCGGTCAGTACATAATCGAGTCTGGAATAGACAATCCAGTGATCCACAGCATGAGCATCGATCTACCCAGTTGGGATACGATGACATGTGTCATCCAAGTCAGCGAGCCTGACCACCCGATCCCGTTAGTCGACTCTTACGACAAGCATGGGTTACTGAAGACCAATTCTAACCCTGATTTTCACAGGTCGAACCAGAAAGTCCGCTGACCCCAAGTCGCATTTAAAGTTTAATGTATAATGTCTAATTTCATACATTTCTGGCAATTCATTAGATGGCACAAAAACCAATACAGAGTTGCTATACGCCTACTATGCTATCAACAAATGCAGAAATTCTGCTGCTCATAAATAAGGAACTGTTTGAGAAACCGTATCGTTTTTTTAACACGTGGGATGTTGTGTAAAGATGCGAGGGATCGAAGAGATGAGTTTCAATATATACTGAGGGGAAAAATGAAACGGCAAAGGGCACCACGTCGATGACAGTGTTCCTTTATTTATGCTCAGATTTGCTGCAGATGAAATGCTCATCGAAACTGCTGCTTTGTGAGCTGTGACCCTCCACCACGATGCAATGTTCCAGCTTTGAGAACACGTGTCGTTAATTACACCAGTCAAGCCGTGCTGCTTTGTGAGCTGTAGACAGTTGTGGTGGGTCTTCCGGTCCTGTATCCTGCTGCTTTGTGAGCTGTAGACAGTTGTGGTGGGTCTTCTGGTCCTGTATCCTGCTGCTTTGTGAGCTGTAGACAGTTGTGGTGGGTCTTCTGGTCCTGTATCCTGCTGCTTTGTGAGCTGTAGACAGTTGTGGGTCTTCTGGTCCTGTATCTTGCTGCTTTCAGTCGATTCCTGGTGGTCCTGAAGGAAATTACTGTCTCCTTGGTAACCAATGTTGCCATAGCTATGTGCTTGAGTCACATGAACGGTGCCTACTAAGTTTCAACAGTGCTCAAGCCTTACGGGGTCTGCCAGGTCTTGGAAAATAACCATTTGTTTGTTGTAGAGTCTTGAAATGATGGAAGGATTGCGCCCGACTTGATGTCCAATTTGTCTGAGGAAAATTCCTGCCAAGATTATTGGCCACCTTGAAGCCTCTGACAATTTACGTGTCATGGCAATTGTGGTACTGAATATTCAGTACAAACGGAAAGGAAAGAGTGTCACATGTTATCAGTAAAACCTTCACTTTGACAGTGTTGGGCAAATGACATTTCACGTGCATTGTGCGCCATTACACGTGCATTGAATACCTTCACAATAAAATCATGCTATACAGCAAGATGCAAAAGGTTAATAAATTATTCTCTGTTTGCTTAATTCACTGAATTACAGGTCCATGAAGTAGGTGTTACATAATTAATTTTCACATGAATCTAATATGTAATACGAAACCCCGCCCATTGATCCGTTAATCATGTTAGGCGCACGCTATCGTCCAATCCGTGAAGATCCATGTTAGAATTGATCTTCAGTATCCCGCGCTTGTCGTAAGAGGCGACTAACAGGATCAGGTGGTCTGGCTCGCTGACTTGGTTGACACACGTCATCGTATCATCGTGTCCCAATTGCGTAGATCGATGCTCATGCTGCTGATCACTGGATTGTCTGGTCAAGACTCGATTATGTACAGACCGCCGCCATATAGCTGGGGTATTTCTGAGTGCGGCGTAAAACTAAAATCACTCACGCACTCATTTTCTTCCATCTGTTTTCAGAATAGCTTGGTGATAGCTTATGGTGTTCTTATTTCTTTTACAGGCAGAAGTTCGATTTACGGCCCATTCTTGCTGGAGCTAAACACCTGCATAAATCAGAAGTGTTTACACAACAGGTTAGTTTGCTACTACTACTACTACTACTACTACTACTGCTACTACTACTACTACTACTACTACTACTACTACTACTACTACTACTACTACTACTACTACTACTACTGCTACTGCTATTACTACTACTACTACTACTACTACTACTACTGCTGCTACTACTAGTACTGCTGCTACTGCTACTACTACTACTACTACTGCTACTACTACTACTACTACTACTACTACTGCTACTGCTGCTACAACTACTACTACTACTACTACTATTACTACTACTACTACTACTGCTACTACTACTACTACTACTACTGCTACTGCTACTACTACTACTACTACTATTACTACTACTGCTACTACTATTACTACTACTACGGGTTAGAATTGCCTTCAGCAACTCATGCTTGTTGTACGAGGCAACTAACAGGATTAGTGGATGATGCTCGCTGACTTGGTTGACACATGTCATCGAATTCCAACTGCGTAGACAGATGCTCATGATGTTGATCACTGGGTTATTTGGTCGAAATTATTGCCGAGAGTGGCATAAACAACAAACCAACCAACTACTACTACTACTATTGCTACAACTACTGCTACTGCTACTACTGCTACTACAATGTACTACTGCTACTACTACTACTACTACTACTACTGTTGCTGCTACTACTACTACTACTACAACAATTACTACTACTACTACAACCTCTACTACTACAGCTACTACTACTACAACAACTACTCCTACAACTACCTCTACTACTACTGCTACAGCTACTGCTACTACAACTACTACTACTACTACTACCTCTACTACTACTGCTATAGCTACTACTACTACTACTACTACTACAACTTCTACTACTACTACAACTACCTCTACTACTACTGCTGCTGTTTGATCCCCGACCGCGTCATACCAAAAGACGTTAAAATATGGTACTTGTTGCTCCCTGCCTGACGCTCGGCATTAATTAGTACAACAAGGACTGGTCGGCTCGGAGTCAGTATAATGTGTGTGAGTGGGGTATTCATAGCCTCACTGAGGCATGGCTTCTCAGTGAGCTAGCACTATAAAACCAGCTTAAGTCTGGGCTAGTATAAGCAGCCTCATACACATACACACACATGCACGTCGTCATATGAGCGAAATATTCTCAAGCACGACGTTAAACCCAATTTCACCTCACCTCACAACTGCTGCTACAGCTACTACTACAACTACTACAACCTCTACTACTACAGCTACTACTACTACTATTACAAAAACTACTACTTCTACTGCTACTACAACTACCTTTACTACTACTGCTACAGCTACTACTACTACTACAACAACTACTACTACTACTTCTACTACTACAACTACCTCTACTACTACTGCTACAGCTACTACTACTACTGCTACTACTACAGCTACTACTACTACAACAACTACTACTTCTACTACTACTACAACTACCTCTACTACTACTACTGCTGCTACAGCTACTACTACTACTACTACTACAACTATTTGTTGTACTGTTGCTGCTGCTACTACTTACCCGTGAATCGGCGACCCACGTGATCGGGTGGTTGACAAATGTCATCGTATCCCAAATGCATATGTCTATGCTCTTGATGTTGATCACTGGATTGTCTGATCCAGACATATTTACAGAGACCGCCGCCATAGCGCTGAATATTGCTGAGTGAGGCGTAAAACAACAAGCAAGCATGCTAATCCTTTTATACATCACGTCAGCTGGCCTGACCACTCGATCCCGATAGTCGCCTCTTACCACAAACATGGGTTGCTGAAGACCAAATCTAACCCGGATCGTCACGGGTCCAAAGATTTGAAGAAACAAACAAGATAACTCCATATTATGTTTATAAACACTACACTTGAATCAGATCGAGAACCTCCAAGCGGTAACGGATGCGTCCTTCTCCATTTGCAGCTGGCAGAAATGTTTCTCAACGCCACCGGCGGCGATGCGACACTGCGGGATGAAGCTCTGAGTTCAATAAGAAGCAAGATGGCCGCCTTCAGGGAGCTTGAGTCTCATCTTGAAGTCTGGCTGACAGAGGCTGGATATTCTTCATACATTTCATAGTCCTATGTTTGATTGACGGTTTAATTAATTTATGTATTTACAACGCTTGCTGAAGTAAGTTCTGCAGATTTGATTTTTGTTTGTTTGTTGTTAACGCCGCATACAGCAATATTCCAGCAATATGGCGGCGGTCCGTAAATAATCGAGTCTGGACCTGACAATCCAGTGACCAACTGCAGATTTGAACATACATACGATGTATTGCTCATGTGTAGCTTGTGAGAGTAGCTGTGTTTTCGCCACTTTTAATACCAGAAAATGGCTTCTCATATTTTACCTATGTCGGGATTCGAACCTGAGTCTTCATTGCGGAGAACGAACGCTTTAACTTAGGCTACACAACCATCTCGCTTTTGGCATGGACTTTTTTTATCCATATGAAAAAGCTATCAGTTTTTGTGAATAAAAATTCTAATGAGAAAACACTGCTTTTTTAAATTTAAGGGTCGTTGAAGAGTCCAGTCTAAGTAAACTTAGGCTCAGTATTATTCGTTACACTGCTATACTGAGTCTAACAAATCCTTGTGGAAGATCGCGACCTATGACCGTCCAATCAACCGCGAGACGGCCGAACGGATTTAACCAATCAGACAACGGCTACTATTTAGGGTTCGGCGGGACTTACAAAATGTATTTACTCTTCCCCGGTCGCAAAAATGATCTCACAACAAATGAAAACCCTCATTAAACACAGATATATGACCTGCAGAATATACGCTTTTGGGTTTCTGTTGACATGGTTATCATTTGCTAATATTTCCGCAAGCTGACATCCTTGAACAATGACAAAACGCTATTTTCAGCGACTGTTGACTCACGGTTTTGGTGTGCTCCATGTGCATCTCTCGGAAGCGATCGTACGGAAAATAGCATTCGGAATCGTTCGGGTACAAAACTTTTTCGAGGTAAAAGTTCAAACGGTATGTGCGAATGTCAACTTTCGCGATTTGGTAAGCTGTGTTCTGATTGGTCAACTGAAAAGGTTATCTGACGCGACCTTCCTCAGGGTTTTGTTAGACTCAGTATAGCAGTGTAACGAATAATACTGAGCCTAAGTTTACATAGACTGTTGTACAGTCCTAAAACGGACTTTCTCATGGCGAATAGGAAAGGCTTATTATTCTGCATACATGTTTAAAAAAATCTTGTCTGATCCTCCTGTGGTCCTATAAACCGATGATCTCATCATAGGTATTTGTTTATTGGATAAACGAAATACACAGTCGAACATCGCTGTGTCGAACTTCGTTGTCTTGAAGTAAAAGATTGGTTCTGTGTTGTGTCGAACGTATGATAACGTTTATAAGACATAGGTTCCTCAAAGTCGACACAAAGGTGTTTAACTGTATTTAATTGTGATATCATGCAGGCTGTGGTGTGAGTGAGTGATTTGTTAAGTATATGAATGAGTGAGTGAGCTTGGTTTAACGCCCCCTTGGAGAGTTTTAAAATATTGTAATTATCGCTGTTTTTGCGACCTCACATTCTCATGTTTCATCTACATTTGTAGGCCATATCACGCTCCCCATTATAGTGAGTGTTTATGGTTTATGGTCGCTTTTAGCAAAATATTCTGGCAATATCACGACGGGCAATACGAGAAATAAGCTCCTCACCCATTTTACTGTTGAAACCGGCTGTGGGGAAGGCAAGTGGATAAAGCGTTTACTCGTCAGACCAAATACCTGGGTTCAGTTCCCCACTTCGATGCAGTGGTGACGCTGCTGAAATATTGCTGCGGCATAAAATCATCTTCACCCACTATGTGATAACTGACTTCGTATGACGTGGCTAACTAAGTGACTGAGTGAGTTGTGTTTTACGCCGCACTCAGCAATATTCCAGCTATATGGCGGCGGTCTGTAAATATACGAGTCTGGACCAGACAATCCAGCGATCAGCAGCATGAGCATCGATCTGCGCAATTGGGAACCGATGACATGTGTCAACCAAGTCAGCGAGCCTGACCGCCCTATCCTGTTAGTCGCCTGTTACGGCAAGCATGGGTTACTGAAGACTGATATTCTAGCCCAGACCTTCACGGGTCGGTTAACTTGGAGATGGACAGAGTAGTAATATATTGGCATTAAACACAGACATCATACTCTCAGTAAATGATACGCTTATGTGGTGCCGTGTGGTCCTGTGCATAGAGCCCAGGTCACAAATCAGTTGAAGCTAAGTACCGTTGGGTGCGGAGAGTCCTTGGATGGTTGAAAATGTTTGGCAGGTTGACTCCTGAAAGTTTCAAGGACTTCAGTCCTGCTCCACAACGAAGCACATGTGAGACATGTGGTTTCACCTAGGAAAGGGAGTATGTTGAAAATTGCCTCTGTGCACGAGCACTGAATGGGTACCCGGTGGGACAAGACATATGCCTATTAAGCATCACAGATTTTAGAAATTGCGACTCTGTTGCATCATTTAAATATCCACATGAAAGCAAGATGTGCACCTAGATATTATTTTTATGGAATAAGGAAGTTAAATGTTCTGCACACAACATTAAGATACACGACGAGTACACTTAATTATGATTTATTTACAATAAATGTAAAAAATGTTGTACATATCTTAACCTATGTCTGTCACTTGTGTACATTGTTGTAAGATGAATTGTGTAATTATTGGGAGAGGGATTTTCTCTGTTTCAATCATTTATCACAATCTAACCTCTCAATGACAAACCTGTTTTTATATTTGATAGTAACAAAATTTCTATTTACACACAATCAACAATCAAACTTCTCAGTAACAAACCTGTTTCAGGCTCAATCGACTATACTCACAAGACAGTGGGACCGCCTCCGTGGTGTAGTAGTTAGAGCGTCTGCCCGGAGAGCGGAAGGTCGCGGGTTCGATCACCGAGCGCGTCATACCAAAAGACGTTAAAATATGGTACTTGTTGGTCCCTGCCTGGCGCTCGACATTAATGGGTACAACAAGGACTGGTCGGCTGGGAGTCAGTATAATGTGTCTGAGTGGGGTATTCATGCTTCACTGCGTCATAGTATCTCAGTGGGCTACCACTATAAAACCAGCTTCAGTCTGGGCTAGTACAAGCAGCCGCACATACACATACACACACATGCACGTCGTCATATGAGCGAAATATTCTCAAGCAAGACGTTAAACCCAATTTCACCTCACCTCACCTCACAAGACAGTGGACTGTTCCATTATACCGGTCGGTGTTTCCCTAATTAACCTTCTAGTTCAGTGTCTGTCAATCGACTGTCTGTCAAGTAGGTGTCTGTCAATTGGGAGATAGCCATCGATTAGTCGGACACCTCATTAGTTAGACACTTGAAAAACCCCAATTGCATGGTTGAATGAACATATTTGGGAAGGCTGTCACCCATTGGGGAAATGGACTAATCCAACGCTTACCCTATCAGTGAGACATAATGAGACAACTCAGATCATTTAGAGCAGTTTTATTATCTTTTATAGCATCTTTTGTCATTTTCATAATGTTTGTTACTTTTTCGCAGGGGCGGTGGGGTAGCCTAGTGGTTAAAGCGTTGGCTCGTCACGCCGAAGACCCGGGTTCGAATCCCCACATGGGTACAATCTGTGAAGCCCATTTCTGGTGTCCCCCGCCGTGATGTTGCTGGAATATTGCTAAAAGCGGCGTAAAACCAAAACTCAGTCAGCCAGTCAGTTACTTTTTCGCAATATCACAGGCCTATAAGTAAACTTGTCACATTCTCTAGTACTACTGTCACTGCATGGAGGTACATAGTCAAATTCAGCCAAGCTTCACACGTTTTCCATCAGCATCCAAATATGGCACTGGGGCATGTTCATTTGACCCCCAATGATAAACTAGTGTCACCCCTATGATATAAAAGTGGACTCTTCTAGTTGAAGTAGTTGAAGGACAAAAAGACAGTTTTGAAGAATTTATTTCTAGTATTTGGAGTCTTGCTTCCTTGCTTCATCTGCTCTCTCTATCGGCCAAGTTGGCGTCTGACGAAAGGCATATCACCTAACCATCACAGGCGGTTAACCGTTATAATGTATTTTATGCAGATTGCGCTTACAGCATGCCCGTGCGACGTGGAGTTCAGCGCCACATAAGGGTATCTTCCCATAAGAAAGACTTCCCAAAAGACAGACCGCTTAAAAGAACGCATTTTATGGTTGGTTGCATAAGGCTTAATTAAAGGTCACATGCAACCATAAAATCAAACATAATTAAAACACAATTATCACTTCTTCATGACATATAATATACATTGCTGATTATGAAAAAACATATAAACAAAATTATAAGCGTACAATCGCAAATCAAAAGTGCAATATTTTGTACTTGGGTTTACTTCCCTCGAAAGGGCGGTGGGATAGCCTAATGGTTAAAGCGTCCGCTCGACATGCTGAAGACCTGGCTTAGATGCCCCACATGGGTGCAATGTGTGAAGCCCATTTCTGGTGTCCCCTGCCGTGATATTTCTGGAAAATTGCTAAAAGCGGCGTAAAACCATACTCATTCACTACTTCCCTCGAAACGAAGCAGCCGGGATACCGAACCCAGTCAGAGCGAGTGGGTGTGTCGAAGCCCTCACGTCTCATTGTGTGTGTGTATATAGAGATATTGGGTTTTTAAATACATGCTTATTTTTTGTGTATAACATTTTTCAATCAACAGACATGATAACATGTCATGTGTACAAGTATCACACCTACCTGTCTGTGTAATTACATAATGTGACACAGGCCGAACTCGGGCCATAAATCAATGCGTTTTGTTTATGGTGTATCGTCTGAAAGGTATTAAGTTAAAATTACATGTGGTCAGTGATCGAAGTTGTGTATTGAATATTGTCATTAGCAGACAGGCAGGCAGACACATAGGTGTCAGTAAAACAGACATTGAGTTTTGTCTGTGACAACAACATATCTATATCACAGTTAGAAATTGTGTCAACGCTAAATAATGACATTGCTTTTAAGTATCGAACTGAGAAAGTGACTCGGTAAGAAGAACGTGTGGTTAAATAGACAAATGAAATTATATAAACAGTTAAATCGGTAATCTACTGTCATAATATAAAAAAGCTCGCGCCTGTGAAATATCAACAAACCATTAGAAAAATAGCTCACATCAAAGCCTTCACCGAGTATTCACCGCCAGCGACAGTTTTCCGTCTTGAAATGTCGAACGCCTGGTTGACACATATCTTAGTAGATCTAGATCCTAACAAGGTTCTTTTATGAAATGAGTAGATTATTTACTATTTGTTTTGATTAGACTACTCCTGCTCACGACCTTATAATCCGGACACCCTGCTGCCAAGCCTTGACTAATGGTATGTGCCCAGATAAACAAGACAATATAAGGTATTAAGGAGCCGCGGTAGCTGAGTGGGTTAGGCGGCTGACTTTGTGTGCTGGCCATTAGGTGCCTGACTGTG